CTTGATAATCTTGAATTTCAACATCGAAAGACTCACCTCTCTTCCTCAGGCTGCTTCTGAAGTAGGATGACTTCCATGGGATGTGGAATGGCTTATGAAAATACCTGGGTTTTATACCACTTCCAGCATACTTTTTAGACCCACGAGGGGTAGATATAGAAAAAGAATGTGGAAAGGCTTTTGGAAGCACTTCCTCAGGCAGATTTTTGATAGCTTCATTTTCAGTTCCTGAAACGAAATAGTGGCTGTAACCAAAAGTAGTCTAAAAAACACAGATTTGTTTCTTTTTGCATTGGGCAAACAGGAGCTATTACCAAGTCACCCTTTGCTAACTCTTGTTAGATCCTTGGAAGGAACGTCTTTGCCTGCAGAGCTGGGTGAGCAGCTTATGTAAAAGTCTAGAGGCACAAGCAAGCCCAATGCAGCAGCAGCCCAGAGATTTATGTACGTTTTCAATTAGATTTCATCCATAGTTCACATTTTTGTGAAGGGAGGGAAGGCAGAAACTTGGTAAGCTTTAGCTGGAGTCTTCCTAGCATATGGAGCAGCATGAAACTGCACGTATGGTCTAGAATGGACAAAGGAAGCCTGAACAACTTCTTGGATGAGAGAAAAAGAAAAGAGGAGTGCTAGGTATGGATAAGAGGCATTTTTGTTCATATCTTTCATAGGATGCTTCTAAGAGAGTAAGATAAACCATCTCTTCCTGAGCAGGACAAAAAATAAGTACCCACCTATTGCATATTTTACAGAAAGCTGCAAAGATACACATTGTTATCCTGTATGCTTTTTCCCACCTCGCTTAACCTTTTCATTATTTCAAATGACATACACTTTTACTGTTGATTAGACTTTAACCAAGGTTAAACCAAAATAGGTATTGTAACAGGGCACCTGATACGGTGCCTGTTACAGGGGGAAAAGGGACATGCCACCTGGAGCAAAGAAGAAAACTTGCCCACAGTTGGACCACATCAGGAAAAGCAGGACAATGTGAAGCACTGGGAACTCAGCTGATCCCAAGGAAGTCCTGCTCAGACTCTGGCAGGGCCCATGTGGGAGCAGGGCCAGGGCAGGTTTACTCCGGGCAGAGGAGCCAGAAGGTCAAAGGGAAGTGGGGAGAGGAGACAGGTTGCTGCCGGGGCAGGGACCAGCTGGAGAGAAAGGAGCTGAAGTGAAAGGCGAGACCGGATTAGCAAGCAGAGCAACACCGAAGATGCAGGTACTTATTGGGAATTGAGAACTGGCGACATCCAGGAGTAACAGGTGAGTGATGGCCAGAGGGACTGCGGAGCTGGGGAAGGGCTTGGCCTGCATGAAAGAGGGCAGGAGAAGCCATAGTGAGGAGCAATGGGGAGGAAGATAAATTCCCTCCACCTCCATCGGTGTGAACCCAGGAAGGGAGACTCTGGAACAAACTGCAAGGCAGCAGACCACTGCCTAAGCTGCGAGAAATCTCCTTGGGGTCCCAGCCTCTCTAACTAAGGGCCAGCCAGGAAGGGGTGGCTGCTGGCTGACTCTTGCTTAACTCATACAGAGGGCTGTGAAGGGAACAGCTCAAGCCCAGGGGAGGGCAGAGGAATGCCATCCCATTGGGGACAAATCAAGACAGGACAGGAAAAGGACAGGGGAGCGCTCGTAACCATGGCAAGACCCATCAGAAGAAGAGAGAGTGAAGGAGTGCCCGGGGCAACATCAAATCCGGGACATCACAGGTGTGGTCAGGACAAGGTCAAGGGGCGGTGGGAGCTCTGCAAAGAAAGCTGGGTCAGTACCCCAGGCGTGTTAGGGAGAACACCTCCCAAGCTCTGGGTTTTTCCTCAATATATCTATTTTTCCATCAAGGTACGGCAAGCGAGTAAGGAAGAACAACGAGGCTAAGCTCCAGTTAGCAACCACGACATCCGCGGTACCCGTACAACACTTACAGGCATGATACATCTTCAAGAGGGAATTCAGGATCTTTGTGTAAAGGAATCTTCCTATGACAACTCATTATTTTTGACTGCCTATAAAATGCGGAAGGCACGTTGAAATGTCTCGTATGCCATTCTTCTCTAATGCTTTCCACAGCAGGGACATGTTCTCAGCATATGTGAAACTATCCTAGCTCTATTGGCTTCACTGGATCCAACTGTCTCCAGTCCAGGACGTGTCCATCAGTGAAGTCCTTCTCTGTTCTTGCCTCTCCTGTCTGTACCCTTCCAGAGCTTTCACAGGTCTGCACCCATTTCCTTATGCTCTCAACATCTTACAGACCGTGGCTAGGAGCAGTTAACCCCATCCTCAACTCTTCATCCAACATTCATCTCAGAACATGCTGCTCACAAAGCTATTGTACTAGCAGAGGGAAGCTAGTGCAATGCTGGCTAGTGCTTGGGACTGAGAGGCAGATGGTCAAACAAGTTCTCCCCTGAAATTATGGTACAGTACTGCCACATGAGCAAATACAAGTGGCTTTATTACAGAAATTAGATCCTGGGAACAACAAATATTGAGTGCGATGTTGTAGAAACGAGATCCTACAAACCAGAACTTTAAGGAATACAAGTTACCTGAATTTAGTTTTGCCTTTGACCCATTTCCAACACGTGCACTTTTCACTAGACAGAGAGAATAAAGAGAACAAAGAGCTGCCAAAAGTATTCTTGCCTGATAGGAAAGGAAACTCCTGACTGAGCCAGATATTGGTGTGTATTAAGATGAATGTATTCATTAGCGTCTTTTTTCTAAAATTTTCTATACAATTTACACTTCAACTGTCAGTTAGAATCAATTAGAATTTTTTTACCTGGTACAGAACAAAAGGAC